TCCTGCCAATTATTGCAGATGCGTTCAAATCTGGTCAATTGCCCAGTGAACACACCTGCCGGTTGATGGGAAGGGATGTTGGAGGTAGCACTTGGATAGCGAATAACAGGGAAATCCCAAGCAGCCGCTTTATCAAACACGCTCATGCGAAGCGAACCATCAGAACGTACTCGTAGATGCATATATATATATATATGGCATATTTTCTTCGCCTTTTGAGCTTGTGGGGTCAGTAATGGAGTGAGGCTCATTCTCCCTTGCACCCACACCCGTTTGCCACCCAGCATTCCTTGCCCACCATTTATCCACCACCACCCCCAGAATTGCCACACCCCCCACCCCCCACTCCCCACCCCTTGCATACCCTATCTTTCTTTCGAAAATATCTACGCACCTCTTGAGAACCTGCTTTCCCGCCTCCATGACATTAAATCTTGCGAGATGTTTCGTCTTGTCCACAACATACGCGTTATCTGTCTTCCGCTTCGGCAGACTCTGCAGCTGGGTGTCTGGGATCATTTCCATAGACACAAACAAATGCTCAGCGACTACCTCTCACAGTCCCCCCCCCCGCAAGCTTGACTTATAGAATTATTCTTTTTTGATTGATATACCAGCTTGATTGAAAATAGTGAATTATACCTTAAAAAACAATAAGTTGTATCAATAAGTTATAGAGAATAAGTTATATATACAATCAGTTATATTTATTTGTAGAGTTAGATTGATGTATATTTAATGATTGATATAGCCAATAAAAAAAGTCAAGAATAACACAAATATTTTTTTTCSATGCTTGCTATATTCTCAAAAGCACAAAAATAGGTTTACATAATCTAAATTGTTTTCTTTAATAAAGAGAATAGAAATTGAAGTGATTTAATTTAGAGAGGGTTGCTAACTCAATGGTAGAGTACTCGGCTTTTAAGTGCGATTATGGGGTTCAATACATAATATGTAATAAATTTCTTTAACATAGCTGAAATTTTGTTAAAAACAACGGCTTACTTGGATGTATGAAAAATATCACAAGGACTATAGCATGCCGGTAAGTAATTCATCAATATCAATTCATGAAAATTGCAAGTGAAAAGGTGTATGGACAACATGACTGTCCTCAGGGGAGTAACCAAAAATACAGGAGACGGATATAAGGGACAAAGAAGGGATTAAATTTTCGACCAAGATGCGAAGGAAGCTGACGAGCGGAAAGCAGCTGGATTTGAACCAGGATCCTCAACCTTAGCCTTCGCTGCACAGAGGTCTCACAGAGGTCTCTTTCTTTATCTCTTTATCAGGTCAACCAGCGTCGCCGGCCTCCTTCAACAGATTAACGTCATCATCAATTAACACCAACATCATCATCAATTAACACCACCATCATCATCAATTAACGCCACCATCATCATCAAAAATTAACGCCACCATCATCATCAATTAACGCCACCATCATCATCAAAAATTAAAACCATCATCATCATCAATTAACGCCACCACCATCATCATCAATTAACACCACCATCATCATCATCAATTAACACAACCATCATCATCAATTAACACAACCATCATCATCAATTAACACCACCATCATCATCATCAATTAACACCACCATCATCGTCAATTACACCTTTGAGCATTTAATTTCGACGTACCTGGCCGCAATTTCAGCGCTTTTTGAGCCGAAATCGTTATAGGTCCTACTGGCGAGGGGAACACGGGAAGCCCTGACGATATCGGTTAAAAAAAGGCCGAAATTCAGGCCAGGGACGTCGAAATTAAAAAAAAAATGGCCAAAGGGATAACACCATCATGATCATCCATTAACACCACCATCATCATCGGCCTCAGCATCATCATCATCATCATCAACATCTGAAATTGTTGTGGCATCAATTGACACAACCATAATCATCAATTAACATCACCAGGATCATCAATTAACACCACCATCATCATCCATTAACATCACCATCATCATCGGCCTCATCATCATCATCATCATCATCATCATCATCATCATCATGATGTGCAATTGTTCTGGCCATCATCTCCATCGTCATCGTCATCATCATGAGCATCACCATCATCGACTTCGACATAGCAGAACGCTTCGATCACCATGTCCAACCCAAGGTAATGAGCTCAGCATTAAAAAAGTAATCACTGGACACCACTGAACCTGACTCTTAAAAAAAAAAAAAAAAAAAAAAAAAACACGTCAGACGTCAAGAGGCGATTACGCAAAACATATCGAGACAGAAGAGACTACCAATTTGGTACCGTAGATACGAAACGGACGTCGGTTCCAATTTGGAATCATATGGGCGCCCGTTCGAATCCGTGCGTGCACGGAGGGGGTTCTACCGTTCTACGACCCCAAAGTACTGATCAGAAAACAATAAGGTAGGGGTTAATTACCCAAGGGTTCCTCGATATCTTACCAAAGAGAGAAGGGGGAAAACGAAAAGGCAGATGATAAAAAATGACCAGATACTGGAAAAGAAAAAACAACTTAATCCATTTCACAGACGAATAGAGAGAGAGAGACAGACACACAGAGAGAGAGAGAGAGATTGGGCGCAAGAATCGCCATTTCAGTGTGGGTCGGGCTGGAAGTCCCAAAACGCGCATTGGCACAATGTAACATAACATACACAATAACCCTAAACCCTAAATCTTTTTTTTTTTTTGACAAAATTCCTGTCGTACTTGCGTAACTTAATCCAGCTGTTCAATTTGATCTACACGTTGTAAGAATACAAAACATTCTTCTTCTTCTTCTTCTTCTTCT